GTTTGTAAGACCCCTTATGAATTTTTAAAATTCTCTAGTCTGATATTAATCTCCATAGTCGCTCCTCTGCCCTGGCCTCCCAATCCCCCCCCCCATTTAACCATTTCTAATCCAGTGTTCCCCTTTCTCCATTTGTACCTCTGCATTCTGAGCAAGTCCTCAGCTCTTTCCTTCCTGTCTTCTCGGCGCCACGCAGCTTCCTGCTCCTTCAGGATTTGTGACACACTCAGGATGTGGGTTACCTATTAATCTCCATAGTCGCTCCTCTGCCCTGGCCTCCCAATCCCCCCCCCCATTTAACCATTTCTAATCCAGTGTTCCCCTTTCTCCATTTGTACCTCTGCATTCTGAGCAAGTCCTCAGCTCTTTCCTTCCTGTCTTCTCGGCGCCACGCAGCTTCCTGCTCCTTCAGGATTTGTGACACACTCAGGATGTGGGTTACCACGCTGTGTCTCGCACAGTAATAAACAGCCGAGTCTTCAGATATCAGGCTACTGAGCTCCATGAAGGCTGTGCTGGACGATGTGTCACTGGTCATTGAGACCCTGCCCTTGAACTTCTGTGCATACCCTGTATTGCCGTTGCCAGGGTAGATCCATCCTATCCACTCTAGCCCCTGTCCAGGCTTTTGCTTCACCCACTGTATAGTGTAGCTGGTGAAGGTATAGCCAGAAGTCTTGCAAGAGAGCTTTACTGAGGTCCCAGGCTTCTTCAGATCAGGCCCAGACTGTTGAAGCTGGACCTGGGAATGGACACCTGTGGAGAGGAGGGAGAGCTGGTATCACATTCACCTGAGACTCTGGCACATCTCATACCTGGAACTAGGTACCCCTTCACCTGTAACGGCTGCCATCAGGAAGAGGATGATCCAGCTCCAACCCATGGTAAGCACCTGTGGACTCAGGGACTGTGAGGTTGGTCCTGCAGTACCGGAGACTAAAGAGTCTTATATGTTTGCCAGGACAGATGTGGGTCATTTGCATATCCATGATTCAGAGTACTTCTGTATCAAGTCAAAATGCATGATAAGGAGTAGGTTGAAGACACCTGGATCACACAGCAGTATGCGGTGTGCACAGCATAATTCCAGTGAAACGTCCTGCAACGACTGCTGCCCCATCCATCATCCCTTGCAGACAGAGCTCTTCCACAGAGGATGAAGTCCCCACGGACAGGCTGCTCAGATTGGGTCACATTCGATGGTGCATGGGCCACCTGAACCTGTACAGAGTCAACAATGTCTCTAATGTTTAACAGGTGAATTTAGGGCAACATAGTGGACCAGTACAGACCGTTGGGATTGTTCTCCATCCCACGTCAGTCACCCCAGGAACATGGATATCTCTGATATCAGCAAGGCACTCCTGGAACACTTTTTAGCATGTGTCTCGGTGTGCTAAGTCAGAGATATTCCACAGAAAAATCTTGTTCTCAGGACATAGTCCTCATGATTGTCCTATGACTATGTTTTTGTAGAAATTCAATGTGGCTTTGGATAGCCTCATGTATTGACTTTATTTAGCCAGGGTTAGTGATGTTTAACTGAAGCCAGAATTTTGTAAAACACTGAAGGTGATGAATTTATGAATAAAAACCGGAGAGGCTGGGAGAATCTCCTCCCTCCTTAGCTTTCTTGTGAATTTGCTACATAGTCCTTGGGGACTGCTGGATCTACAGTGCCCCCTGTTGGTCCTGAGACACTGTGTGTAAGTTTTTCTCTGCTCTCACATACCCCTCTCATTATGGCTCTTATACAGTAAGACATGATCTTGTTCTCAATCCTCACACAGCTCAGCTACTTTGGGAACTACTTTGTTGTCTACCTGGACATGCTAATTAGACATTTGAGCAACGAATGACAGACTGTGTCTCATCAGTTCCCATATCTCCATCACCTTCAGGTTCTTCAAGGACTGTTGGATATACTGAAGAGTCTGTAAGGATTGCACCAGGTAAATTCTTGACCCTTGCTGTGTGCCTGTGTCAAACAGCTGATGACGGAGGCCAACAGTGAGTTTAGTGCTCCAATTCCAAGCTTCCAGCACCTCTTTGTGATAGAATCTGATCTAAGAACCATAATGAATAGAAGGAACCACAAATGTAGTATTTACAGACTAGCTCACAATTCCTGAAAATATCTTCACAACTGATAAGGAACCAGTATTTAAACAGATGTGGACTGCGATTCTGTTGGCTTAATTCAGCATTTGCATTAGCGATGGATTGTATTTTTGTATAGAACATAAATGGAATGAGATGTTTCATTTGCCATAGGTCCATTTGGGTCAGAGATTCTCAGTTTTTCTCACATAGCTCAGTTCTCTCCCCAGATAAAACGTTTGACGGTCCAGAGACCTCTTATTCTAGGGAGGTTCATGAGGCAGTGGATATTCTTAGAGACTTTGATGTCTTGGATACAATGTTAGTGAATGACAGATGTGGGAAGAGTGTAATGAATTATGAGATCCCAGGAATATGTGGAACCAATAGGAACATAAATGATTCTAATGTGGATTTGAATGTGGGTGTGTGTTTGTGTATGTGTGTGTGTTGCATGAATTTTTGGCAATTACATTAAATCAAATAAATGTATATATAATCTGCCACATAAACAGACTATAGGCAGAAATCACAGGATCATCTCATTATGTGCAACAAAGCTCTTGTCAAAATCCAACATCCATTAATGATAGAAGTCAGGGAGAACCTAGGGATACAGTGAGTATGTCTCCACAGATAGCATCATACTGAATGTAGAGAACAATTGAAAATATTCCCATTGAAATCAGGAACAAGTATTTCCATTGCTGTTTAGGACAGTAGTTAGTCTTAGCTATACTAATAAGTCAAACAAAGGAGAACAAGGAGATACAAGCTGGAACAGAAGAAGTAAAAGTAACTTTATTTGCAGATTAGATATGATACTGTACCTAAAAGACACTAAAGACTCTATCAGAAAACTCCTAGATCTGACAAATAGTCATCAAAGTAGCAGGATATAAAATTAGCCCCCAAATTCAGCAGCCTTTCTATATAACAACAAAAAGCATATAAAGAAAGAAATTGGAAAATGTTCCCATTCATGACAGCCTCAAAATATCTAAATGATTTTGTAAATCTAAACAATGAAGTGAAGGATTTGTTCCATAAAAATTTAGACATTGAAGAAAGTAATTGTAGTAGATACCATAAAATAGAAAGACACCCTCCATGGTCATAGATACGTAGGATTAATATTGTGAAAATGGCCATACTACCAAAAGCAATCTACAAATTCTATGCAATTCCAATTTCAGTTCCAACACAATTCTTCACAGGGATTGAAAAATCTTCTAAATTTCATGTGAAAGGAACAAAAAGAAAAAAAAACCTGAGTTCGATGGAAGTAATCCTGAAAAATAAAAGAAAGACTGGTGCTGGAGGAATTACCATCCTTGATTTCAAATTACATTACAGAACTATAATAATAAAAACAGCTTGCTACTGTCAAAAAAATTGATCAGGGCAATAGAATTGAGTACCCATATTATATCCATGTATTTCTACATACCTGAGTTTTGGAAAAACAGCCATAAATACATATGGGAGAAAAGGCAGCATGCTCAACAAATGATGATTTCTAACTGGATAGTAGCATGTAGAAGAATGAATCTAGACCCCAATCTCTCAACATGCACAACACTCAACTCCAAATGTATCAAGGATATCAACATAAGACCCAATACTTTGAATCAGTTTGAAAATAAAGTAAGAGATACATTTTAACTTATAGTCACAGAAAAGACCTTTCTGAACAGGACTCCTATAATGCAGTCATTAATTCCAACAATTTACAAAAATGACCACAAAAAACTGTAAAGTTTCCTTACCAACAAAGACACCATTATTCAAGTGAAATCGCAATCTAAAGAATGGCAAATAATTCCCTTAAAAATATTTTTATTGAGCTTTTGTACAAGCCTTCCAAAGGTTTTTAAATTTAGATCCCCCTCCTCCATTCACACCCCTGCCCCACTGGACATCATATATTCAGCCGTATACATGGTCTTCGTCGCAAGCTCATCTACTGTCGTCTAGTCAGAACATCTAGAGATAGTAAGGAAGGTTTACTGTCCCTCACCCAGCAGTAATCAGTCTCCAACAGTTCTCAGGGCCCATTGTGGAAGAGGGGTAAAATGATTGTAAGAGCAAGGAATGATCCATGAGCACAGGGAAACTGGCTTTCAGGTGACTGGAAGCATGCTCATGTGTACTTGTGGCAATAGTGACATCAAACACAAGACCCATGCAACTCAATCAGACAATGAAAAAATTCATATCACTGTGTCCTGAGCAAGTCTCTGGCCACTCCTTCCTATCTTTTCAGCTCCATGCAGCTTCCTGCTTCTACAGGGTTTGTGACACACTCAGGATGTGGGTTGCCGCACTGTGTCTTGCACAGTAATAAATGGCTGAGTCTTCAGCTATCAGGCTGCTCAGCTCCATGAAGGCTGTGCTGGACGATGTGTCTCTGGTCATTGAGACCCTGCCCTGGAACTTCTGCGCATACTTTGTGTTGCCATTGCTAGGGATGATTCGCCCAATCCACTCTAGCCCCTGTCCAGGTCTCTGCTTGACCCAGTGCATGTAATAGCTTGTGAAGGTGTAGCCAGAAGCCTTGCAGGATACCTTCACTGAGGCACCAGGCTTCTTCAGCTCAGCCCCAGACTGCTGTAGCTGCTCCTGGGAATGAATACCTGTGGAGAGGAGGGAGAGTTTATTCCATAGTCACCTGAGAAGCAGGCACCTCTCATAGCTGAGACAAGGGATCCCTTTACCTGTAACTGCTGTAACCAGGAAGAGGATGATCCAATTCCAACCCATGGCAAGGACCTGTGTACTCAGGGGCTGTGAGGTTATGGTTGGCCCTGTGGTAATGTGGACTAAAGAGACTCATATATTTAACAAGCCAGATGTGAGACATTTGCATATTCATGATGCAGAGTACTTTTTTATAAAGGCGTAATGCACATTGAAAAGGAATAGGTTGAAGACACCTGGATCACATGTCAATGTGCTGTTGTCCAATTCCTAATCCCATTAAATACACTGCTGCCCCTTCCTTGATCCCCGTGCGGACAAAGCTGTTCCCACAGAGAATGAAATCCACATTGTCATGCTGCTCTGATTGGGCCCCATTGTTAAAGGTGCATGGGCCACCTGAACCTGCTCAGGGCCAACAGTGTCTCTGATGCTTAAAAGCTGAATTTAGTCCAAAATGCTTCCATAATGGACCAGCACAGAACATTGGAGACAACTGTCCCTCCCAAATCAGTGACCCCAGGAACATGGGCAACACTGATATCAGCAGTGTACTTTGGTGATTTTTTTTTTTTTTTAGCACGTTTCCAAGTGTCCTGAGTCAGAGATTTTCCATAGAAAAGCCTTGTTCACAGAACATAGTGTTCATGAGTGAATTACGACTATGAGTCAGTAGAAATTTAATATGGCTTTTGATAGCCTCATATATTAAATGTGTTTAATCACGAAAATTTGTTGTTTTTGAGCATGGAGTAACAATGTCTAACTGAAGTCTATATTTTGCAAGGTTACAGAAGGTGAATCTTTTATGAATGGAAACCAGAGAAGCTGGTAGAATCTCTCCTCCTTCCCCCGCTTTCTTTTGAATTTGCTATGCTGCCCTTTGGGATTGATGAATCTACAGCGCCCCCTGCTGGTCTCAAGAAACTGTATGTAAGTTTTTCTCTGAACCCACACAGTCCCCTCATGATGGCGATGACACAGCAACACATGACCGTGTTCTCAGTCCTCACACTGCTCAGCTACTTTGGGAATTACTTTGTTGTCTACCTGGAGATGTTAATTAGACATTTGAGCAATGAATAAAAGGTTGTATGTCTTCTGTTCCCAATATCACCATCACCTTCAAGCCCTTGTTGGGCTATTGGATTCATCGAAGGGTCTATAGAATTCCACCAGGAAATTTCATGACTCTTGTTGTTTTACCTGTGAAAAGCCCATGGGGACAGAGGCCAGCATTGTGTTAAGTGCTGCAGTGTCACATTCCTGTCTCTCAGCAGGTCTTCCAATACACTCAGATCTAGGAACCAAAAGAAATAAGAGGAACCACAAACATAGTGTTTACAGACTAGTTCAAACACATTAAGATATTTTCACAACTGTTAAGTAACCAGTATTTAAAGAAATGTGGGCTGTGATTTAATGTGTTTGTTGAATTCAGAATTTACGTTAGAGATTGGTTATTCTTTTGTAAAGAACAACATAAATGCAATGGTAGTCCATTTTCTATAGATCCATTTGGGTGGGAGATGCTTACAATGTTTTCACCCAGCTTGTTCTCTCTCTAGAGAGAGGTTCATGAGGTAGTGTAGATTCTCAGAGACTTCGATGTATCGGATATCATGTTAGTGAATAACAGTTGTGGGAATAATGTAATGAAATAGGAGACCTCTGGAGTTAGTGGAACCAATAGCAACATGAATTGTTGATTTGAATGTGTGTGTGTGTGTGTGTGTGTGTGTTGCATGACATTTTGGCAATTAACTAACTCATAAATATATGTAAAATAATGCATGACATAAACAGACAATGGACAGAAATAATATGATCATCTCATTAGTTGCAGAAAAAGCCTTTGACATAATCCAACGTCTATTCCTAATAGAAGTCATCTAAAACCAGGGATACAATCAATATAATAAAGGTATCATAAAACAGTCCCACAGGCAGAATCATATTAAATGTAGAGAGAAAATGAAAACACTCCCATTGAAATCAGGAATAAAATCAAACCTCAAGGTAAGAATGAACTTCCTCTCTAAAAGCTGTTTGCCAGTGGCCTTTTACAATATTGGCAATGGTCACCGCCTTTGGTTACCAAGCAGAATTACATAGCAAGATGCTATTGCTGAAAATATTATGTACATGAACTATAAAACAAATAGGGAGAAATCGATCTAGTGCTGACTTCAAACCCACACCTCTAATGACTATCATCCACAGTGCTGGAAGGTGGTATGTATGAGACTAGAAGAACAAATCAACAATCTTACCCACCTGTGAATCCTCTGAACTACATCGAGTAACCTGGAAAGATACA